GATTTCCACTACTGTGCAGGGAGACCCCGGTCCCTCTGATGGCAGAACTGACACAGCCTCCCAACCTCCCTTCTCCTAGTGAACTAAGCCTCAGGAACAAAGAAATTCCAGGGGGGAGTTAGCCCCAGGCCCAGAGAAATTCAAGCCAGCTGAGCAATCACAGAAGCTGGTTCAACACGGACTGTTAGCCACCTCTGTTATCATAGATTTATAGAGTTTAAGGCCGGAAGAGACCATCTAGTGTGTACCATCCTGAATATCACAGGCCATTACATTTCACCCACTTAGCCCTGTATTGAGGCCAATAGCTTGTGTTTGGCCAAAGCGTATCTCCCATAAAGTCATCCGGTCTTTATTTGAGGGTGTCAAGAGATGAAGAATCCACCACTTCCCTGGGGAGTTTGTTCCAATAGTTAATCAACCTCCCTGTTAAATATTTGTGCCTTATTTCTAATTTGAATTTTTCTGGCTTCAGCTTCCAGCTACTGGTTCTTGTTATGTCTTTCTCTTCTCTCACTGCAAGGCATTTTTTCCCAGCCCTCAAATCAACATCCTTTGAAAAATGAGGACTGCAGAAGTGGATGCAGTATTCCTGTGTTGCTCTCACCATCCTCAGGCCGTTCCTTCAATTTTCACTCTGGATATTCTCTGCCTTGTGCTGATTGGCTGTTTGCTCTACTTCCCCTCCAGATGCCACTCTTAAGGTTTCCTCAGCTCAGCCTCACTCCCTTTGCCTTCCATGCTCCCACTCCAGCCTTCCGCCCTTATCTCCCAGACCTATCCCCAGCACCTTCCTCCCTTCATCTTTTCAGTTATCCAATCCTCTCCTAACTTAACCCCACCCATATCATTAACCCCCCATCACAAAATAAACCCACCAACCCTTGCCCCCTGTAGCACAGAACATGATATTTGGAAGCCACCACACTGTGCACTCTGCTTATGTGTGCCATCCCTTTCTCCTATCCTAGATTCTATTCTTGCTAGGTCCTCAGCAGCACTGTCTTCTTCTTCTGTTAAATTCAAGTATATCCATAGAGCTGCGTGGGAAGTGGTCAAAGCTTAGAACTGCCCAGCAGTCTGATTCTGGTTATTGGAACTTCCATGTAAATATTTTCCACCCTTCAAGAAAGGCTTGAATTGAACTAACTGGCCTAACTGTGTCTCTGATCTAATCTCCTGTGGAGTCCTCCAAATATTTTGTGCATAGAAGATATTTCTTTTGTGAAGCCTTCAGGAAAAGAAAAGACATCCCATAACCACCAAAATGTAACCACTGGCAGGATTTCGTTCAGACCCGTCATGCCAAAAATAAGCTCTGCAGGGGTCCGTTCAAAAGCCTTCAATACACACAAGTTTTTCCATTCTAGCCGTGAGAGTGATTTCAGTTTGGAATGACAGATTTTTGTAGGTAATGCCAGGCTGTCTCTCAAACATGTAAGAGGCAGAGTTTGCTTGGATGATGATGATAGCTCCCAGAAGGCCCCAGGGATATTGAAGTTCCACTGTGCACTGTACAAGCACACAGGTCCGGCTCCAGAGTTTTTGCCGCCACAAGCGGCGGAAGAAAAAAAAAAGCCACGATCGCAATCGCGATCGGCGGCACTCCAGCGGCAGCTCCACTGTGCGCTTTCTTCTTTGGCGGGAATTCGGCGGCAGGTGCTTCCCTCTGAGAGGGACCCGCTGCCGAATTGCCGTGGAACAGCCCGACATGCCACCCCTTCCCCTGGGCCGCCCCAAGCACCTGCTTGCTGGGCTGGTGCCTGGAGCCGGCCCTGCAAGCACATAGTAAGATCCCCCTGCCCCAAAGTCTTTGTAATCTAGATAGACAAGACAGAAAAAAGGGTGGGAGAAAGGAAGAATGATCATTTCCCCCACTTACAGGTGGGGAACTGAGATACAGAGATTAAAGCTGGGATCTTTAAAGGAGCCTGTGAGAGTCTGGCCAGTTAATTTGGACTGGGATGGTCAAAAGTGCCTAAGGAACTTAGGCTCACAACTCCAACTGAATTTAACTATTACTAAACTTATTAAAACTATGATAAACTATATATTACCATAGTGACTAGAGACCAGCTGCTGGAGTGGTAAATAATGAAGAGAACAAGTCACTGTTACAGAGTGATCTGGATCACTTGGTAAACTGGTGCAAGCAAACAATATGTGTTTTAATATGGCTAAATGGAAATGCATCCAACTAGGAACGAAGAATGTAGGCCAAACTTACAGGACGCATGACTCGATCCTGGGAAGCAGAAACTCTGAAAAAGATTTGAGGGTTCTGGGAATAACCAGCTGAAAATGAGCTCCCAGTGTGATGCTGTGGCCTAAAGAGCTAATACGATCTTGGGATGCCTAAACAGGGGAATCTCGGGTAAGAGCAGAAAGGATATTTTACCTCTGTATTTGGCACTGGTGAGACTGTTGCTGGAATACTGTGTCTAGTTCTGGTGCCTACAATTCAAGAAGGCTGTTGATAAATTGCAGAGTGGTCACACAAGAACGATAAGAATGATTGAAGGATTAGAAAACATGCTTTATAGGATAGACTCAAGGAGCTCAATCTTTTTAGCTTAACAAAAAGAAGGTTACGGGGTAACTTGATTACAGTCTATAAATATCTAGATGTGTAACAAATATTTAATATGGGCTTTTCAATCTACCAGAGAAAGGTACAACATGATCCTGGGGCTGGAAGTTGAAGATAGACAAATTCAGACTAGAAATAAGGCATAATTTTGAACAGGGAGAATAATTAACAATTGGAACAATTTACCAAAGGTTGTGGTGGATTCTTCATCACTGAAGATTTTTCATCAAGCTTGGATGTTTTTCTAAAAGTTATGCTCTAGAAATTATTTTGGGGATGTTCTATGGCCTGTTACAAAGGAGGTCAGACTAGATGATCACATGGTCTCTTTTGGCTTTGGACTCCGTGAAAAAGCCTAATCAGTAATGAGGCCCCAATGTGCTAAATGCTGCACAAATATATAAGGAGACATGGGTCTCTGCCCCCAAGGAATTTACAATCATAGAGGAAAAGTGACCTATGAAGGACTTGGCAGAGGGTGTGCTGTCAAGTTTGTACAAATGACTTTATCTATATAAGAGAGACAAGGTGGGTGAGGTAACCTCTTTTATTGGACAAGCTTTTGATCCACACAGAGCTCTTCTTCAGGTCTGGGAAAGGAACTCCCAGCGTCACAGCAAAATGCAAGGTGGAACAGATTGTTTAGCATAAGTAGGTAGCACATATTGTAAGGGAGCTTTCAAGGTACAGTGGCTTGTTAACACCTCTGCAGTCTTAGGACAAAAAGAGGGGGTTAGCGGGTTACTACGCTGCATATATTTATATATACAACTGAAATACTTAATATTACTCATAGGGCTTGTCTTCACTACTGGAAGTCGACCTAAGTTATGCTACTCCAGCTACATGAATAACATAGCTGGAGTCGACGTACCTTAGGTCGACTTACTCCTGTGTCTTCACAGCGCTGTGTCAACGGGAGACGCTCTCCCCTGACTTCCCTTACTCTTCTCGGGGAGCTGGACTACCAGAGGCAACTGGACAGCGCTCTGCTGTCGATTTAGCGGGTCTTAGACCCGCTAAATCAACACCTGCTCTATCGATTGCAGCAGCGTTGATCTCCTCAGTAGTGAAGACAAGCCCATAGATAGCTTTTTTCCACCTATAATTTCCGTGATTTGTGCTTTATACTTTGGTTGTGGGACCCGAAGCAAAATACCCACCACACTCTGCAATATTTGGTCTGTTAGTTTTGTCGGCTCCCTTCCTAGAGATAAGTAACAGCAAGGTCCATTATTTAGTTGCATTTTTATTAATTATCTTCAAGCTCCATTTAAATTCAGGACACAGTAATATAGTGCAGTCTACCGTAACTCTCTAATTCCGTGGGACACATCAGGGATTAGGAAGGTCGGCAGGTGGAAAGGTGGGAAAAACCAGGAAATGGAACACACAAGAGGCTGGATAGGAAAACAGCAGTAATACAAGGAGGAGTTTTGGTGCAGGACTCACTGGTTTGATAAGGAAGGCCACAACAGGAGGAGCAATGGGAGAAGGATGCATTGGACCAAACAGTGGGTGGTTTTGAGGCGATGGGTGAAAAAGGCTGAGAATGCTTCTTTTGTAGCACTGGAAATTGGGCACTAGCGGGGCAAAATACTTGACTATAAATGGGCTGCTGAATTCAGTGCACATATCGGATCAAAATATGCAGAACTGGCACTAGGCATAAGCAGACTAAGCAATTGCTTTGGGCCCTGAGCCGCTCATGGGGCCCCCTATTAATTATTAGTATGTGTTGTGTGTGGGGGGGTGCTCCCTGCTTAGGGCTCCCAATGGGCTTGGATCACCTCTGAATACTGTACGAGATCAGAAACAAAGCTATCTACATACCGGAGGTTCAAGCTTTAACTAAAACTTTCATAGCTCCTGTGGAGTTAAGGGGCAACCTTAACATAATAAGCAATGCCTATTTAGCTGACGAATCTTATACCACTTATAAATTTCTCTCTGACCTATTATTCAGATAAAGCCATTGCCCCTGCTGTCTATTTACTGATCTTTGATTGTCAAAGGGATTATAGAAAATGAGCCAGCCTTGTTTTATCCTAAGCAACCTCATCTTAAAAACACTGAACATGAATAACTGCTAAATTCCAATTCCTCATCTTAAAAACACTGAACATGAATAACTGCTAAATTCCAATCTGTGGAAAGACAATGGCCATTGTCTCCTCCTCCACCTTCTTACTATCATCATAGATATTATGTTATAGGTTCTAAATCATAGTAAAAAAATAGTAAAAAAATTTCTGTCTTGCGCCAGTAAGTCGCCAATCCATTTCTGAAGCCAATGGGCCATCAAGACAATATTTGAAGATTTACTCTGTCTAGCAATAAAAATGCGTACATAACAGACCACGGGACAGTAGCAACAACACCAAAAGAGGACAACAAAGAAAAGAATTACCTGATAGTTTTGATCATGCTGAGTCCCATTTCAACACAACAGTGGGCATGGTCTTGGCGAGGTTCCGGGAGCCCAGAAACACAGTAGTAACAGTCCCCCAGGATCTTAATTCTAAGGCAATGATGTTCCTAAATTAAATGTATCAAAACAGAAAGATTTTTAGTAATGGGTTTGTATTTGCAACACAAGCATGGAGGTGGCGGTGAAAAAACATTGGAAGTAAATGTAAAAGGTTTTCACTATACTCGGTGTGTGTATGTGTGTAACTAATACTATCTTGATTTGTTCTGATTTTGAAAATTAGTACTTCCATTATATATAAATTACTTATTTTTTGTGGGTGTCTGAAGTTCTTATTGCAGGTGTGTGAAGTTCTTAGTAGGGTTGGGTAAGAAGCTAGGCAAAGGTCCCAGAAGCTGCACAGTGGGTTAATTAGAGTCTCACATTTAGGAAACCACAGAAATATATAGGGATTGATCTACACCATAGCGTGCCCTTCCACTGACTTCACTGGGCATGGTTCAGGCCCACAGAGAGGAACAACACATTCCCTGTCTGGGAAGTTATTGAACATTGGGGACGGGGAATAAACAATGTAGTAGGAAGGAATTCCCAGGGTTTTCCTCCTCTACCTCTGTCCCTTACAAACAAATCTGACAATATATCCAGCAATGAAATGTTGTTCATTACATATCATTATATTAAGAAAACAGTTTCTTAGTTTCTCATGAAGCAATTACTGAATGAATGCTACAGGCAATGTTTTGGAGCACCTCCACCCCTCTGTGACAGAGTGGTAGGTATGAAAGCCTGAGTCAGCACTCTGTTCACAGCCGCTCCAATCAGGGAAAGCAGATTGGAGTTTACTAAGCAGAAGTATGCCTAATATGTGGGTGGGGCAGGACAGAAAGGCTGATTAAGCCATTAGCCAGAGCCCACAAATAGGCACAGGAAGTAAGTAAAACGGGGGAAGCAGGCAGTAAGAGGGAGAGAGAGATTGCTCTCCTCTGCTTGTTAACAGCATTATGTATGTTGTGAAGATGGTGGGACTCCTTTATAAATAAACTGTATAAGGTGTTGGACCAGCACAAGGGTCTCTGCATAGTCTGACAACCGAGAGAGAAGCAGGACCAAGGAGGACCTGTTATACCCTCCCTTCAAGATTTTTGTTAAAGTGAAAAAACAAGTTTAAATAGTTAGATTTAAAGAGTTATTTATTTTGGTTTGGATTTCTTTTTTTCTGTTATCTCTTCGTTCAGGTCCGCAAGGCAAGAAAATACAGAACAGCAAGACCTTTTGAATCTTATCCCCTGGAGCATTTTCCACTTCTTTTAAAAAAAAGTTTTTGCTTCCAATACAATTGCAGACATTCCCAGAGTTTGATCCAATACCCATTGAAGTCAGCAGACGCTCATTGATTTCAATGGGCTTTGGTTGAGGCCTATATTCCAAAATAAAATAAAAAACCAGATGTCATTGGTCACAGATACAGTACATATTTATTTGCATACCATCCAACTAGAAATGTTCTTCAATTTCAAGGGAAAATATAGTATTTCATCATATATAAAGATATTACTGGACTCTATAGTAATGACGGAAGCACCATATTATCTTGTTTTTACATCATTACTTTGGCATATCCTTTTCCAGTGAAACAGCACACAGAAACAACCAAGTATTCACGGGTTCCACTCTCCACTGTAGTTGATGAAATAAAATTCATTTTTACCAAATCCCCAACCCACCAAAGCACTTACAATTGTGTTCAATTGTAAGCACATGCTTACATGCTTTGCTGGATTGTGGTCTATGGTTGAGAGTCAATGTACTGTAATTGGAATTACAGGGTTCAGGGGTACAAATGTGGATATTCTAGAGCTGGACGAGACTTTTCATGATGAAAAGTAGTTTAAAGAATAAGTTCACTTTAACACCAGATGAGCGTATGTTTGTATGGTAGCAGGAAAGCCTTGCAGTAAAGAAGCAGACATACAAGGGAAGCAGTGTAGAGATTTCTTAAGCTCCTGCATTAACTACAAAATTTGGTCTCCTTTATCTATAATATCTATCCCTTTTCTCCTTGATGTCCCAAGCAACCTCCCAGGTAAGCTGTACTTCAATCAAAAGAAATGGAGTGAGAGCACAAAGGGGCACTAATAACATCGGGGACTGCAGGTGTCATACAACAGCAACTGCCAGTGCCTGCCATGCCTCTGGAATTGGTTATTGGCAAACTGACGGGGACTCTATGCTACCATTTACATTACTACAGAATCAGAGTGGAGTCTTGCAAAACAGCCTCGGAATATTCTTTTCAAATACTTAAGTGGTGAAAGTGACCTAATTACAGTATCACTTGGGACCAAAGCTCCCAGTGAAGTCAACTATCAGGGGGTAGCCGTGTTAGTCTGTATCTACAAAAACAACAAGGAGTCTGGTGGCACCTTAAAGACTAACAGATTTA